ATATATAAGATAGTTAAGATAGTTATACTACTAATTTCTATTAGTTGAAAAAAAGGTTTGTGCTTACATTGATCAATTTTCATGCCTAGATCTTGTAATCTGAGCAACTACTTTGAAGATAACAATGTGCAATGTATTAACTATTGTTACTCTCCTACTATCTTGTTTTGAAATTTTGTATCATTGTTTTTATTGTATTTCTCTCTCTCTCTCTCTCTCTCTCTCTTTGTCTTTTTGAGACAGGGTTTCGCTATACATTTCAAGCTGGCCTTGAGCTCACTTTGTAGCCCAGGCTGGTCTCAAATTCACAACAACCCTCCTGCCTCAGCCTCCCAAGTGCTGGGATTACAGACGTGTGCCACCACGCCCATCTTGTATTTCTGCTTTTAAACAAAAGATAGAGGAATTGTTTTCAAAATGTATGAAGGACTCGCAAAAGTCAGTAGCAAGAAAACAGCCCAGAGGAGAGTTGGCAAGCGGGGAGGGACAGTAAGGATGGGACCAGGATCGGAACTTGGCCTTATATGGGTGCCTAGCCCTGCCCTGCTTATCTTGCAGAAGCACTGAGCAAGAATGCTGGCTGTATAAAGCTTTATAGATCTGGGAAGCCCAGAAGGTCTCCAAGACTATGCCACATCACCAAACTGCATCTGCCCCACAGCTGAGAACCTTGCGCTGAACCTACAGGATGAACATTTCACCCAGGGAAGTGACCATCTTCAGCACTAAGAAATGAGCCTGTTAACCAAGAACTCCACCCCAGAGAGAAAATTTCTGTGTTTTTCCTCTGATTTTTGAGGAGCCAGAGGGGTCCAGCACACCGCACTGCAGCTCCAGTGTCATGTGATGATCTCCTCTGCACCTATCACCTTGAGTCCTCTTGGATCAAACATGTTCGTGATGAGGCTGTCATTCCTATGTGTCAGTGCTGGGCAGCTTGAGCTCGTGGGACGTGCATGACTCCCATCAGGCAGCTTTTTATTACTTTTATTAGTAAAAAGACTGATAAAAGTGATTAGACCCGTTTGTACCACCAGTGGTACAAACTGCCTGAAAGAACAGTCATGCGTGTGCCTCCAGTGAGTCAAGACTGGAAACTTGTTAATGAAGACTGAAGACCAGTCTTTTTTGGAGGAATGACTTTCCTTCCCCCTGTGGTTGCCAGGGTGTTGAGGCAATGTGTGATTTCTTAGAGTATTGTTCCCTCCCTCAAGTTAGGAGAAGATAACCACCATCCCAAGAATTCTCAATAAACTAAGTAAACAAACAAACAAGCAAACAAAAAGTAGCCCAAGTGAAAATTGGGCACATGATGTTTTTTTGAGACAAGGTCTTGCTATCTCGTTCTAGCTGGTCTTGAGTTTACTACATAGGCAGCCTCAAACTCATGGCCGTTCTCCTGCCTCATCATCCTGAGTGCTGGGATTACAGGCGTGTGCCACTAGGCTTGGCTTGGGCACCAGATCTGAAAAACCCCTTCGCTAAAGAGGATATACAGAACATAGCTAAGTGCACGAAAGATTTAAGCATCATTATCTACTAGGGAAATGCAAATAAGAATGATAATGAGATACCACTGCACTATATCTATTGAGAAGACTTGGCCATCTTCAGTACAAACTAAAATAGGAGACTGCTACGTGAACTTCCACCTTGATAATCTCGTCCATGGTGCCTCACTTGAACATGAACAAAAAATGTTGGAACTATTTCCAGATGTCAAGGTCAGAACATCTAAGGGAGCATTACACACACATACACACGAATGTTTATCCTTCAGCATCTTTTCCTCAGACACTTTTGCTTTGTGCCACACATGGAACTCCTTGGTCTTTGGTCTTTGCTCTTTAACTTTCCCACTTTTGGCCTCTGTTTCTTCCACCTCTTTAAATCCCACATTTGTCACGGTGCATTTCACTGATGACATCCTCACAGGCCGGATCTGGAAGGCTTATCCTCAAAGGACACTTGTGGTTTCCTGCAGGGCCACATCTGCTGTTCCAATAAATTCCACAAGAGGGATAGTGTTTCTCCAGGGAAAGGCTTCTCAACTGCCTTAAAACTGATAGTTAAGTGAAGGTAGATGTAAGGTACACAATCCGTCTCTACTTTAAAAATAACTTTACATCTAAATAACATTATACGGCCGGGGATATAGCTCAGCAGCACAAGCACCTGCCTGGCAAGTGCAAGGTCCTGAGTTCGGTTGTCAGTACCAAAACATAAATAAATAAATAATATTATACATAGTGACTAAACATTAATCACTAAAGTTTCTCTATTATTGAAATAAGAAAACACTCTTTATTTATTTTTTCAGTCAGTCTAGACATTTGTTGAAGACTCACTATATGCCAGGCACTGTTGTAAATACTAAGAATTCCAACAAAACTTACTTGAAGTAAGATAGGAAAGAAATGGTACACTTAGACTATCTTTACAGAGTAATGATTCCTATTTAACTTTATCTGAGTATTCTTCTGAAACTTAGCTGGCAAATTTACTTTCATCTTTTACAAAGGTCAAAAGTACCAGAGCTTTTTTTTAATTTTTTTTTTTTTTTTTTTGGTACCGGGAATCAAACTTAGGACCTTGCACTTGCTAGACAGGAGCTTGTGCCACTGAGCTATATCCCCAGCCCGTAGCAGAGCTTTTATCCATAGTGGACTTCCCACAAAAAATTCTTCCCTATTTCCTGGCTAATGAGCATGCTTACAACAACCATCTCCTGCAGTTCTTGTAAGGGGAATTCAGCCCTGCGCTAAGGTTTGTTCACATGACTTTTAAAAGCAGTGCCCACTCATGCAGTCTTTTTCCTTCTATATTTCAAACACAAGAGACAAACCTCCTAGTAGGTAACTCCTGAGTTTTGTTCCCTTCTCTGAAATGTTCATCTCCCATGATATGGCACCTATTCAAAGAAGTCATTTCCTAAGCTATGTCTTTTTAAATTCATGGTATGTGTATTGAGCCCCTCTTTCTTATGAATGCAGATTTAAAAGTGGAAGATAGCTCAGTGGTGGAGCACTTGTCTAACATGCACAAGGCTCTTGGCTCAATCCCCAGGACCACAAAAAAGTAAACAGATAAAAATAGAATTCAATTCCTACTGCTAGAAAATGTATCGTGTTTGCATTTCACAGCATGCTGTATCCCTTTGCTAACAGATATAAATTTTTCCCCTTCTGAACTTTTGCAACATTTTGAAAGGTAGAACATGGTAAAATAGAACATGGTAAAGCAGTTTTCTTCTCAGCATCAAACATTTTGTACACTGTAGGCAAGGCTTCTCCAGAGTATACAGACTTAGCGGTTCAACTAAGGAAGAAGGGTCACGTTTTTAGAAAAACATTCCTGAGGTCCTAAAATGGGAATAATCAGCTACCAGCCCAATGTGCTGTTCTTTCCACTTGCTGGGCAATGCTGTCTTTTAACCTCAGCCGAGGGCCTCCTCTGAGAAGTTCATGGTTCTGCATTTTTCTCCGTTAAGATCTCAGCCATCAAAGGGAACCAGATGCAAGAGCTCAGAGGTCAGCCAGGTTCAGAGCAAGCAAGGCAAAGCGTGCATAAGAGGAGAGAGGAATTCCACATCCAGCTTGCCTGCTTCTTCAGTGTGGAAGTACAGTTCGGGGTGATGAAAGGCATATTGAAGCTTGAAAGGAATTAAAGCGCATGAACCCATTGTGTCTCCTCAGGAATGATTCCCATTATCCTCATGCCCTACTTCCTGGTGTTCACTGAGTTCTGGGCCATGGCCGTGCTTACCTTTGCCTGGCTTGCCTATGATTGGGACACCCACAGTCGAGGTAAGAGGTGGGGCAAGAATGGCACTCCTCTCTGCCAGGGATGGAATCTCAAGGAGAGGGATGGGGGAAGCAAAGGTGGGAGGGGAAAGGGACAGAGGGCGCTACCAGGCTGCCTGGGAAGAACTAAGAAGTTGATGTTTGTGAGCAGAGTACCCCAGCCTCAGTATGTTTCCCCGTCACCTTTCTGGTTGGCTCCAGAGGAGCAGGGGCCTCCTGCGCCTTGTGAGCTGGGCTGAGGGACAGTACTTCCAGCTCTGATAGGTGAGAAGGAGGACCCTGTTGTAGCCTGAGGGCTGTAGGCAGAACTCTCCACCTCTAGGAGAGGAGACGTAATGGCAATGCCCCGCCTGCTCTTTCCTTCCCTTCTCTTCGCACAGGTGGCAGGCGTACTGCTTGGGTACGGAGCTGGACCCTCTGGAAGTACTTCTGTAATTACTTCCCAATAAAGGTGACTACATTTCCTCTGGGTTCCCTTGGTTCTCACTGTCCTGCCTCTCACTCCCTACTTAGTTTCATGTTTTCAAAGGCTTTGGTGGCCAGCAGTGAAGGTCAAGGCCCAGAGGTATAAGGCAGAGCAGAGACCCACGATGGATGGGCAGATGGGGAGACAGATGGAGAGCAACCTTTCACTCAGTGGCAAACCCAGGTCAGCCTCTCTGACCACCATCATTTCTGGCAAACCTACGAGCAGGGATTTGGGGCTCCCAGAAGGAAACATAGGCTACCTGCTGGAACCTGATACTGCGCAGCCGCTCTTCTCTCTGTGTAGCCAAACTCTGACTCAGTCTCCCTCTAACAGCTGGTGAAGACTCATGACCTTTCTGCCAAACACAACTACATCATTGCCAGCCACCCCCATGGCATTGTCTCTTTTGGTGCCTTCATCAACTTTGCCACTGAGGCCACTGGCTTTGCCCGGATTTTCCCATCTATCACTCCCTCTTTAGCGACCTTGGAAGGGATCTTCTGGATCCCATTTGTGCGAGACTACGTGATGGCGATGGGTGAGTATAAGTCCTTCCATTCCCTAGTCTACTTGAAGGCTCAAGCCGCAATAAACCCTGCCAGTCATTCACTGCTAGAAGAGGACTTCATAGAAAAAATGAGTCCAGAACACACTGGATTGGCATTAGGAGTAAGTGGCCAAGCATCAGATTCTGTCCACGATCTTAGATGCAGAGCTCAGTTGGGCAGCAGAAGATGTTACAGAGATTCATATGACTCTCCAGGATTCTCTTCACAGGGGGAACCAGAAGGCTAAATTCAGAATCAAAGCCTAAATGGAATACAGAACATGAGAGCCAAGTACTAGCCACAACTGCAGGGAGAATTGGGCTGGATTTGCCAGACTCTTTCCTGGAATGTTGGGTGGCTTCTTCTGGCCAGACATTTATATGGAAGCTCTCATCCCAAAGTATTGTAAGATATTCAAAAATCTTTCAGATCATCTAGTACAGTCTCCATCACCTGGAAACCCCCTCACTCTTGCATAACACACCAGAGGACACAGGATAGGCATCCATCAGAATCCAGGACAACTTCCCCATGACAGGCTTCAAGCCAGGGCACAGTGACAAATATCCATCTCTCTGGACCACTATGTATCCTTCTGGACACCAGAGAACAACAGAAACCAAACACTAAACTATAAGATACATTTATCCGAAGGGGCCAGGTGGGACCATTAGAATCTTAGAGGATGCTTCAGTCCTCTCTGAAGTTGGCATGGCCCTGGAGCATGGACTTCTCTCAGTGGTCGGAGCCTGGAGGCAAGTGCTGTCACCCAGTAGAGAGCAGAAGGTGAGCACAGGGCAAAGATGGGGTTCAGAAGTGATTCCATTGTTCATCTATATTTCAGTTTGGATGGGTGGGCTCTAGGTCTGTCTGCTCTCCAAAATGCCCAGCCCATGTCTCACCATTGGCAGGTTTCTTTTAGGGAAAAACACATTGATGGTGTCTATCCTGGTCACCCCTGAAGGAGAGAACTCTGGAGGGCTAGCACTGCTATGAGCCTTGGCAGAGTACAGGACAGCCATAGTTTATAGGTAGAGACAGGAAGGGTGGGTTTAAGGACCGTTGGTCTGGAAGGTAGTAGGTTCTGGATGGAAGTAAACAGAGGAACTCAGTGGAGCCTCAACCATAGGAACGCAGACTCCAAGACAAACAGCTGGGCCCACCTTAGGCCAGGCCAACCTAGGATTCTGGGACCAAAGGCAGAAGCAGGGAGTCATCAATAAGCGGGAATCAGAACTATCTCCAGAAGGAAGAGCCTGGAGGAACCCCTACCCCATCCTTAGACACTAAGCTTATTCTACCACTTGACTCTGGTTTCGCAGGCTTGTGCCCAGTGAGTAAGTTGGCCCTGGAGTACACCCTGACCCGGAAAGGCTCAGGCAATGCTGTGGTCATTGTGGTGGGTGGAGCTACTGAATCCCTCTTGTGCTGCCCAGGAGCCTCCACCGTCTTGCTCAAGCGACGTAAAGGTTTTGTGAAGCTGGCCCTGGAGACAGGGTAGGTGCCTAGATTCTGGAGCTCCCGTGTCAAGGTGCCATGCGCCCGTTGTAGCCCTCTGCAGAACGCTGCCCTCTGTGGGAAACCTGCTAGAGATTCACTCTTCACTAGGGTTGCTTCCTTCTACCCTCTCACACTGGGTTTTGGGCTGTTTGGGCCTGCAGACCTACTTCTCCGGGCACTTTTCTTACTTGAAATTAGTGAAAGAATAGCAGAATGGGACCTTTTGCTTTCTGCCTGTTACCCTGGTAGGCTGAGGGTCTAGCAGCTGGAGTTTCACTTTTTACCCTCCTGTTCACTGAGAGGCCTGAGAAGTCCCCAGAGGCAAAGAAGGCACTGGCCCCGGTGATACAAGGATTGCAAAAGTGAGTAAGACGTGCCCGCAAAGAGCTTACAGTCTGATTTTAAAAGTGGAACACTTTCGTTCAGCAGTTATCAAACACTTACTGTGTGTCAGGCATAGTGGTGGGGAACTGAGGATAGGCATAAAAGAGACCTGATCCTTGCGAACTCCCTGTCCAATATGAAAGACAGCCCCACACATATTACAAAGCACATCCAGGATTCAATCACGTACTACCTCAACTACCATTACCTGGTTTAAACTCCCATGATCTCTCCCCAGGATTACTACAAAACTTCTAACTGCTCTCCGAGCTTCTGTCCCTGCCTCCCTCACCTTTACAGGTCTATTCTCATCTGAAATCAGAATAATTCTATTAAACATACTTAACAGATTATGATTTACAGATCATGTCACTACTCAAAATGCACCAGTGGTCCCCATGCGACTCAGAGAAAAAGCCACAATCCGTACAAAGGGCCTGAAAGACCTGAATTATGTGTTTTATCTGGTTCTCAGCCGCCTCCCTGACCTCATCACTCAGTACTCTCCCCCTGGCCAGCTACACCGGCCTCCTTGCTGATCCCCAAACAGGCCACACACAGGACTTGGGTCTTGGTTCACACTGTTCCCTCTGCCTGGAGCACGGCCCCTCCAAGGAACAGCTCAGCTCTTTCAAGTCTTTGCTTAAGCATCTCTTCTCAGTAAGCTCTGTCCTGACCCTGCTCTGTCATTTTCCTGTTGTCCTTATCATCTTCTTACACACCATTTATTTTATTTACTTACTTCTATATTATTTTGTTGTTTATTGTCTGTCCCCTGCCCCCAAATAGTAAGTTCCATGAGGACAGAGAGTTTTAAAAAATTCACTGTGTTCCCTTATATATCCCCAAGGCCTAAAATAGTATTGACACATAGAAAGAGCTCAATAGAGAGTTCTTGAATGAATGAAGTGCTGTAAGGGAGATGGTACAAATTGCTATGGGAGCACCAGTTTATGGAAAGACTTAACCCAGAGTAGAGGTTTCATGGGTGAGTAACATCTGAACTATGGAACTGGAATATAGTTGGGACTTTCCAGTCCCCAACAGGAGAAAGACCTGAGGCATTGAATGAGGACCTACAGCGTATGAGGCACCATGCCAGGGCCTAGGGATTCCCAGATGAATGTGGCACAGTTCTCCCCCTTGATTGGCTTGCTGTCTCCGGGGGGAGTCGGGCAGGAAAGGAGATGACTGAAATGCAGAGCTGGGAAAACAGGGTGGCAGGGGACAGAAGCGCTAAGTGAAGAGCACCTGCCCACAGTGGGCGAGCTGGAGGCGGTCGGGGAAAGTTTCTTCAAGGGGCTGAAATGGCAACTGGGCACTGAAAGGCACAACGGAAGTTGCCCTGTGAAGACAGAGGGCAGAATGTAGAGACCCGGGGAAGAGAGCACTTGGCGCACTCAGTATGGCCACGCAGACTGTGAGGGAGGAGTGGGGAGGAGAGGGAAGCCAGCGGGAGGTGTGAAGCTAGAGCGCGGAGGCCGTGCTGAGCAGCGGGTCTACAGTGCAGAGCACTGGAGGAGTTTTAAAGGCAGGAGTGACCCATCCCCATAGGTATTTTAGGAAGATCCGTCTGGGTGTTCCTTCCCATAGTGGCGCGAGTGCAGCAGCTCCCCTCAGAGAGTTCAGGTGGGAAGGTGGGACCTGGCAGGAACAGGACACAAAGCTGTAGATGGTCGTCCTGGGTTCTTGCCCAACAACCAGGAGGTTGGAGAAGTTTCCCACTTTGGACAGAGTTTTGCAGGGGGGAATTTCACTTCCTTGGAGAGCTCACCCTCCTGCCCCTCTCTTTGCAGGGCATACCTTGTTCCTTCCTATTCCTTTGGTGAGAATGAGGTTTACAATCAGGAGACCTTTCCTGAAGGCACATGGATAAGGTTCTTCCAAAAACACTTCCAGAAAACATTTAAAAAAATCCTGGGATTAAATTTCTGTACCTTCCATGGCCGGGGCCTCACTCGAGCATCCTGGGGCTTCCTGCCTTTCAATCGACCCATTACCACAGTTGGTGAGCTGTTCCACTCTCTCTGACCTAACCCAGTTCTTTATCGTCCCCCTACGTCATCCATCAAGCCCCCGGGGATCCTGGCTTCCAGCCAGGGTGGGCAGAGGGAATTCCAGCGGGTGTAGTTGAGAGCAGGGCAGGGAGGACAACTAACCAGATAATAGTTATGACCATTCGTATGTGAGCCGGAGTTCCACAGCAGTCACAAGACCATCAGTATTCACACACATTCCTTCAGCTCTCTCCTGCGCGCGTTCTCCTTCTCTGAAGCACAGGTAAGATTAGGTGGCCGGAGAATGAGAGCCAGGTTAGAGCTGGAGCAGAGGGAGAGACTGTAGGAAGGGGGAGGACCCAGATACAGTCAGTATGTGGCCCCAGGGAGAGGAGGATAGGGTGAGTTTGGGCAGGGATTCTGATGCTTGTCTCCTCCTTCTCCACAGTTGGGGAACCTCTGCCAGTCCCCAAGATTAAGAGGCCCAACCAGGAGACAGTGGACAAGTACCATGCACTCTACATCAGTGCTCTGCGCAAGCTGTTTGACCAACACAAAGTTGAATATGGCCTCTCTGAGAACCAGCAGCTGACAGTCATATGATGGGAGCCAGATTCCTTATTACTGAACCCCAAACCATGAGGGACCCAAGTAAAGGCACAGGGAAGGAAGAATTGGGGGAGAGGGGTGGATCTCAAGGATGAGAGGGGATTTCAACCAAGGCAGAAAGTACTTAATGAGTCAAGGTTCTAACAATGGCATCCCCTTCCGAGTGACCAAGGCAGCTCTGGGGAAGGAACCAGGCAGGCAGTGGGAACCGAGGAGGGCTGACTAACAGAGGAGGTGACTCCATCACCCCTGACTGTTTTAGTGCAAGAACCCGGTCTGGGAGTCTTGTGAGTCACTCTAGCTAATTGTCTAATTGAAGTCGTGAGAAGTCGGCAAACACCTCGCTCTTTCATCCCAAACCTCAGGAACACTATTACTATTTAGGTTTATGCTTAGAAGTTTAGTTGAGAATAGGGACGGTTTGTTGCCTGCCAGTACAATTTGGAGATTGTCACAGGTAAACTGAGGGCCTGAGCTATGACCTCCTAACCCAAACAGAAACGATTCCTTCAGTTATGCCAGAGTTCTAGATTGAAATGAAGTCACATTGTTTCTTTGGTGAAAAATAAAGCTCCAGATATGTACAACATTATAGACCTATTTCCCAATTACTTTGTGATTCACCACTGGGCGTCCCTCAAGCCTAAGAATTTTCCTTCTGGCCATAACCATTTTCCTGTTCTTCACCCACTCTTCCTACTGCCCCAACAGAAAAGGTAAGGGACTGGAGCCATAGCTGCTGCACAGTGTAGGAGAGAGAAACAGTAATGGAATCTAACTGGCACAGATATGCACGGAATAGCCCTCCTGTGCTCACCCCACATAGCCACCATGGGCCAGAAGGTAGGGAGCCAGTGGCCATACACCAGCTAACATTTACTTGATATCAAATATCTACTGTGTCCCCAGGTTTTGTCAGTTAACGCTCACACTAACCCTATGAGATTAAGATTGCCACCATTCCCATTTCACAGTCCCTGAAGTTCTTGAAGACATATAATTTTGGAAAAACTAGCATTCAAATCCAGGTCTTATGAATTTTTCTCAGTGCACCATCACTTGTCCTATTCCTTATTTTCTGGTGACTTATCAGCTTCATTTTCCTACTTGAGGTTCCATAGCACCCCACAAACTTAGTTCACAAGTGTGGAGTGTTTCCAAGTTAAGTCTCAGGGACAATAATTTTAAAAACCTTTCAAGGACTGAGAATGTAGCTCAGTGGTGGAATGCTTGCCTAGCATGTATGAGAGCTTGGCTTCATGCCCAACTACTAAAAAAATACAACTTTTTAAAAAAAAATACAACTTTTTATATCAATAGAATGGAATTAAGAGTACAGAAATAAACCTGTACTACTATGGCCAATTGATTTTCATTGAGATGCCAAGAAAAATTGATGGAAATAAGAATAACCTTTTTGCCAAATGATACTGGGACAACTAGATATCTACATGGAAAAGAATGATGTAAAACTTAACTCAAAATGGATCAAGTACCTAAAGTGAAAGATAAACTACTAACATCTTGGAAGAAAACATAGCTATAAAGCTTCATGGTCTTGGCTGGGGTGATGGTTTCTTAGATATGACATTTAAAAGCACGGTAACAAAAGAAAAAATAGGTGAGTTGGGCTCCATTAAGATTAAACACCTTAGTGTTTCCAAGGGCAGAATTAAGGAAGTGAAAAGATAATGGAGTGAGATAAGATATTTGCAAATCATGTACCTTATAAGAATCTAGGACCCAGAATATATAAATAGCTGTTACAATTTAACAACCAGAAGTCAATAAATTTTCAAAATGGGCAAAGATACCATGCGTGATCAGGCATGCCTGTAATCCCAGCACTTGGAAGGCTGAGGCAGGAGAATCGCTGTGAGTTTGAGTCCAGCAAGGACTACATAATGAGTTAAAGGCCAGCCTATATTGCATAGCAAGTCCTGTGTCCGGAAAAAAAAAAGGTGGGAGGCAAAGATTTGAATGGATATTTTCCCAAAGGAGAGAAATACAAACGAAAAAAGTACGCAAAACTCATTAATCGTTAGAGAAATAAAAATTTTAAAAACACCATAGTACTATTTTATACCTGTTAGCATGGCTATAATTTTTCAAAATGCAATATCAGGTACCAGTTTAGGATGTGGAGAAATTGGAGCACTCATATATTGCTTAGCAAATGTAAAATGGTGCAGCCACTTCAGGAAACAGTGTAATAGTTCCTCAAAAAATTAAGCATAGCTGGGCATAGTGGCATGAGGAGCCCCACGAATCCGAGGCTGGCCTATGTTACAAAGTGAGTTCAAGGCCAGCCTGAACTACAAAGTGAAACCTTGTCTCAAAAGAAGAAAAAGAAAGAAAGAAAGAAAGAAAGAAAGAAAGAAAGAAAGAAAGAAAGAAAGAAAGAAGGAAGGAAGGAAGGAAGGA